CATCATCATCATCATCATCATCATCATCATCATCATCATCATCATCATCACTATCTGTTTCCTAAGAGAGAGTGTAAGTGGAGTTTCCAGATCCCTTTGTTCTGGTGTCCTCAAATGTGACTTGAGTCTATCACTTCTTGTAAACCTTTGGTTTGATGATTCTTCTTTGTGATGTCCACATCCACACTCTTGGACGTGTCTCTCTTGCTAAGCATTTCTCTTTCTCTTCACTCTTGGGCTTAAAAATGGCCGAATCAAGCCAGGTGTGGTGGCACACGCCTTTAGTCCTGGAACTCAGGGAGGCAGAGGCAGGCAGATCTCTGTGAGTTTGAGGCCAGCCTAGTCTTCAAAATGAGTCCAGGACAGCCAAGGCTGCACAGAGAAATCTTGTCTAGAAAGAAAAAATGGCTGTGCTGGTCTTATGTTAACTTGACACACAAACTAGAGTTAACTGAAAGGAGGGACCCTCAGTTGAGAAGAGGCCTCCCTAAGATCCAGCTGTACGGTGTTTTCTTTAAGTAGCTTATCTCTTTTCACCCTTATATCACCAAAACTTGGGCTATGCCTGCTGTCCCAGGGAAGGGTCTAAGTCCCTGTCTGCTGAAGCCGGTGACCAGCAGATTTCCTGGGACTTTGTGTGGTCATGGCCCTGTCCATCTCCTCCCTCCCCCCATCCCTGCAGGGCCTCACTCAGGACTGTAAAAATGAAGAGTGGAGGTGGTGATGAGTGGGAAGGCTCCCTGCACATCAGACTCTTTCCGCCTCCTGGGCGGCTGTCAGTCACGCTGATGCAGATGCAGGAGAGCACTTTCCAGACGAATATATAGAAGTGGGTTGCTGCGTCAGAATGTAGCTCTCCATGGACCGAAAGAGAAAATAATAGAGCATTACCCTCCCAAATAAGAAAACTGAGCAGAGGAGATGGCTCAGTGAGAAAAGTGCTTCCTTGGGTGAGCAGCCGAAACCCCAGTGCTTGGGGGAGGGGTTAGGCAGGAGCATCCCTGGAGCTTTTTGGCCAGCCAGTCTACTCCAATTGTGAGTCCCAGTTTTAAAAATAAAGTGGACAGTGACTGAGGAAGGTGCCTGACACCCACTTCTAGCCTCTGCGTGTGTGTGTGCAAGCACGGTAGCATACATCTGTATACACACACATACACACACACATGAGAAAGAGAGAGAGAGAGAAAGAAAGAGAGAGATCCTGGCATTTTCAAATGCGTGAATGAAATTGGCAGGTCCTGTCCTACCAAGTGAAGTGAGCCTGCCACAAAGACAAGTGCTTTCCCACCTCATTTGTGCATGTGGCCTGTGGCAATCAAACTCACAGGAGCAGAGGGTGTGGGGCCTGGGCTTCAGTGAGGTGTTGGGCAAAGGGTGCAGAGACTCAGTTACGAGAGATGACTAAACTTTGGGGATCTGGTATTGTGATCCCAATCCTGATCCATCTACGAAGCTGAATCTGCCAAGAGGGTAGGTCTTAGGTGCATGTTGCGTACCCACATATGCGTGAGGTGACGTGTATATTCATTAACTTGATTGTGGTGTTTATTTTACAATAGATAGCAACCCACATCAAGGTAACACCTTGGTGCAGCTTCAATGCATACACTCTCAAATTTGGTTAGTCAGTTATACCCCGGGAAAGAGTGGGATAAAAAGGGAGATGCAGCATGCTGGTAACAGCTCTGGTCTCCGAGAGTCCGCTGTGGTATTTAAACCCGTGGTCTGGTCAATGGCTGCTCGGGGTGGCCACTGGGAATATTGTTATCTCAGAGTCAGCATGCTCAGGGGGGAAGTGCATCTTTAGACATTCAGAGACTTCTGTGAGGTGACCCAGAAAGGTGTAGCCGTCTTTTTCGGACTAGAGCCCAGGCCGCCTGTTTCTCACAGGGACTTAGACCTACTTAGAGTGGCTTCTCCTGGCCCGCCTCCTCCACGTCTTCCTTCCTGGACCTGCATTATCCTACAGCAGACATGCCTCACCTCTGCTCAGCTAGGGTCAGACACAGCTTCTTACCAGTGTGCCAGCCAGCATGCCAGCCCTCTTGCCCCCTCCCAACAGTGCTCACATGAGCTGGCTTCCCACCTGTGATGGGCTTGTATTGTTTCCCCTGGTCTAACCCCAGTTCCTCCCTGGACTCAGACCCTCCCAGCAAAGGCTAGGCTAGTCATGGATGACAGAGAGCTGAGCAACCATTTGTGGTTCCCAGAGAATGGGCCGATTTCTAATGGGTTCTAATTACCAGTCAGAACCATGGCCTCCCAGCAAATTCTTGCTTGGGTCCAAGGCAAGTACTTTACTGCTGCGCTACCAGAAACATTCGTTTCTGGGTGGCAGACCTACCCTTCATCTACCAGCTCCCCCCTTGCCTCAGCAGTAGGACTCCTACCCAGAACAAAGACACTATTTGCCAGCTTCTCTTGTAATTAGGTGTGGCCTAAGCTCAAATCGACATCCCCAGGACATGCAGAAAGAACATCTCAGTGGCTTTCTTTTTAAAGTTGTTCCAAACCCATTCCATTAACCATAGTGATAAGCATGGGCTCACACCAGTCTGTAAACACAACCTCACACCAGTCTGTGATGCTGGATGAGCATCTGAAACGGCCTGGGGACCTGGAGAGCATCATGGCTGCTTGCCACCCACCTGTGTTGTAGTGCTTGGTGCAGTATCTCAGGTCCTTCTCTTCTTTCAGGATAAACTGAGGCAGGGTCAGGTCATCAGCCACCTGCACGGCTCCCTGCTCCTGCCACTCAAAGATGAGGTCATTCATGGTGTATCCAACTGGCAGGGATCAGAAGAGGGAGCAGTTAGCAAGGTCTTTGCATTATGCTTAGAGGTGGAGGCTGGGCAGAGCCCCAGATCGTGGTGGAAGTCAGGGGATCCCTGATGCCTTTCCTTCGCCACTGCCTCACAAAGGAGATGAAACTTGTTAAATTGTTTAGATTCATTCTCCAGCCCCTCCCCCCCACCTAGGTCTGTCCTGGGGCCTTGCCCCTCACCCCATGGGGAAGGGTGATTGACACCAGTAATTCTTGCACGTGCCAGCCCCAAAGTTGTTGTTGGTTTTTCCCCTCCCTACAGGTTTTCCTCTGGGGAGTGAGTCTACCACATGTGTTCTTGATGAGAAGAGTATGTGGGGAATAATGAGCCAATCAAGCCAATCAGCTTTTTGGCTCAGGACCATCTCTCTTTAATTTTTTTTTTTTTGGGGGGGGGCATGGTCTCATGTAGCCCAGGCCAGCCTCGGACTCACTATGCAGCTCAATCTGTCTTTAAACTCACAATGGTTCCGCCTCAGCCTCCTGTGGTGTGCACTGCCTAGCTATTTCCTACCTCGTGTGTGTGGTGTAACGAGTATGTGTTTATGTGATCGTGTGTGTGTAGGCCAGAAGCTCATGTTGGGTGTCTTCTTCAATTGCTCTCCACTTTATTTGATTTCAGAAAATATTTTATTGTTATTTTAAAATAGTGTGTGTGTGATTGTGTGTGTGTCTGTGCAAGCTACACACATGTAGATGGCTTCCGAGACCAGAGGTGTCAGATCTTCCTAGGGCTGGATTTTTCAGATGGTTGTGAGCTGACCAATGTGGGTGCTAGGAACTGCACTGGGGTCCTCTGCAAGACTGGCATGAGTTCCTTTTTAAAAAAAGTTCTACTTATTATTATTGTGTGTACATTGGGGCTTTGCCTGCACACATGATATCTATATCCCCAGGAACTGGAATTACAGACAGTTGTGAGATGCCATGTGGGTGCTGGGAATTACACTCAGGTCCTCTGGAAGAGCAGCCAGTGCTCTTAACTGCTGGCCCACCTCTCCATCGTCTCCCTTATTTTTTGAGACAGGTCTCTTCACTGAACAGGAAGCTCATTGCTTCAGTTAGGTTGGATGGCAAGTGAGTTCCAGAGATCTGCCCTGCGCCATGCCCTAGCCCTGCTTGGCTTTTACATGCACGCTGGGGATACAGTCTTGTGCTTCTTCTGATGCCTGTGTGGCAGGCACTTTCCCGACAGAGCCTTTTCTCCCTGACCCTGTCTCCTGCTTCCAGCAATAAACCCCGATATTCCTCTTTGCTAGAGTGACTTGTGCAGCCAGTTGACTACCACCCCTGCCGACATGAGCATCTGCAGAGCACGGTTCCCCTCGTCCACTTCTCTTCATTCCTGGCAGGCACATTCACGAGGGGCCTGGCACAGTGCCTCGTCCTGGGAGGGTGCCGCAGATGACAAAGCCTGTGCCCAGTGAGACAGAGCAGGGGAGTCATATTCTAATGCATTTTCTCAATGCAAGTCCCTTCACTTGGTACTCTGAGTTATAAAAGTACTCTCCTGGGGTTCAGGGATTAGGGAATTTCTGCCTGGCACGGGTAAGTAGGAGCTTGGCTCCTTAAAAACAAACAAACAACAAACAAACAAACAAACAAACAAACAAACAAACACTGATTCGGACTCACAGCTTTCCAGTTGCATGATACACGTCTGCACATCCATCGGGAAATTCTTCAGGTCCATGGGGCAGGCCAGTGTCAGGGTGATTCTGGAAAGAGAAGGGACAGGGCAGATGCTGGGACCACATTTAGGGAGTCTGCACCTCCATACTTTGGCCAGTTGAAATCACTGTTTCAGGGTGGGGACCAGTGACCAGGGGATTGGTGCTTATAGCTTAACTGTATGTACATTTCCAGACTCCTGGGATGGAAGAGGAGGCCTGGCAACAGGAAGGAGGTGGCCTCAAGTCACCAGCCGGAGGGCCTTCTGGGTTTCTCTGGATCCTTCTTGGAGGATAGAGAATGATTTTCAGCAGGTTTCTGGGGTGCCAGGAGCTGCCCCCATGCCAGCTCTTCCGTCAGGTAGATCCCAGGTTTTCCACCGAGTCCCCAGCTTCAGGTACTCCCACGCTTCGGCAGGAAGCCCTGCACATGGCTCTTGCCTGCTTCCAGTCACTTGATGGGCCTGTCAGAGGTGAGTTCAGAGACTGCCCCCCCGCCCCAGCTGTTTCCATTCAACCAACTCACATTTGTGGGTTCAGGCAGGGGTAGAAGGAAAACAGTGGGTCAGTTATTTATTTTGAGGCCGCAGCTCCAGAGCCAGAGGGAGCCCTTCTCTAACATTCCAGGCTGGTAGCTCAGGCTGCAATACAACCTTGAAAGTCTTTGCTCACACCAGAGCACTGGCTGCAGAGCAAAGAGAAGGGCTCTTAGATAATCTCCCTACCTCACCCACAGGACACACACCTAGGAAAGGATGAGCTGCGATTGTGCTAAAGTCGCGTGGATCTAACTTTTGCATGCTGAGTCCTCGTGGCTCTTGGGTTGGCTGACACGCTCTCTATCCTGCTAGCCCAAGGCCTGACTCACTTCTTTGAGATACCCAGCTGGAGATGTCTCCATAGGACATAGCTACCGCCTCCTCAGCTACACACTTGGCCCTTTGGGAATTTCCCTTTCCAGCTCATAATACTTCAGGTGTGTGTGCTCCCCTTTAAGGACAGAACAAAAGCAGAAGCGGGATGGGAAGAGGGAAGAGAAGAGAGGCAGAGAAGGGGCGGGAGGAGTGGAGGGAAAATTTCTGTCTAAAGGCCCATTTCTGAAGATAAAAGCTCTGAAGTGGGGCAGCTGTCAGGATGGGTTAATTTCCAGATGTTGGATGACCTTGGGACCATCGCTTTCTGCTGACCTGTCCTTCTGTCAGGTTGCGCTGGGACTTGGTTTTCTGGAGACATGAAACTGTCCTGGCAGCAGTGAATTCTAGGCAGAGGTGACCCTCCCTCCAGCAGCCCATGTCAGGGCCTGGCAGGGCCTTGGTGGCTGACGCCCAGCCCATGTCATTCTCCATCTAGATGTGGCTGGAAGGGCAGACTCAAGCAGCGGTGCTTCTGCTGCCCCTCAGGGGTGAGGGTCTCTTCCACAGAGCCTGCGAGGGACTGACCCCAATCATCTCTGAGGTCAGGATCAGCCCAGTCTCCCCGCTTTCCACCCTGCCTCATTCTGGATATTTAAGGCTCTTCTCTGAGTGGGAGATAAAACTTCTCCCCCAGTGAGGAACTGAAGGTGTGAGGAATGGCCATTTAGTACTCTGAAGCTCTTTTAAATCAGAACACTTCCGTTCGTTATCATGTATTGATGTGCCTGCCGGTGGAAAGTGGTGGTTGGTGGCCATTCTGATGCTCCAGGAGTTCGGGGACCCACCTGGAAAGCTGTGGCTCTTCTGATCCTCCAGAGAGCAGGGGACCCACACTAGTACCCCATCAGAACCTACTCCCTGACAGGATCCATGGAAGACTGGGTAACTTTCCTAAATCCCCACACACTCACTTCTTTGATGTACATAATAGGGATCATCAAACGTAGTTCATGAGTTATATAGCGATATAACACATGAAAAGTGTTTTGCATAGTCTGTTTTCTAAGCTGCCATTGTTTCGAGTGTGGGTCCATTTTTCCACTTCTCCATGTCCATTATCCGCTGTTCTTTGCCCCAGAGAAGGAGATAAGGGACTAGGTGTGTATGTGGCAGGGAGTGGGAGTCATAGGACACTTTGAAAGCTTAGCACCTAATCAGTCTACAGGATACATTCAGGGGGAGGGATCTTGTTTCCCAAGGCTTAATACAAGGCGAGTAGGGTTTGAAGCAGGAAGGCAGCAGCCCTGGTTTATCTTTGTGGACTGTGCCATTTACATGGTGGTGCCTGTTTTATCCCTACCTGCTCCAGGGCATGGCTGGCATGCCCTGCCCTGGAATGGGGCTTCTCTCCCAGAGGCTCTTAACTATATAATCCAGACATTTTGATTCCCAGGCCCTTCCCCCCTTTCCTCTTTTTTTTTCTTTTCCCCCTTCCTGCTCTCTCTCTTTTTCCCACCTTCCTTCCCATCCCTTACTGCTCCAATAAACCTCAGTTATATAGTAGAGCTTCTCCCCATTAGCTCATTCCATTTTATTTAATCAGTCAGTGCTATTTACCACCAAAGCTTCTGTGTCTTCTCAAACTTTGTTCCCCTGTACTTGCTACTGATCATGACTGGGAAATCTACTTTGTCTTTGTTGAAACACAGGGTGACTCAAACTCCACCCTCCCTCACAGGCCCTTCCCACCCTCTCTCCTTGCTTTTGATGAAACCCGCTCCTATGGTTCCCTGGCCTTGCTGGCTCTGGAACCCACCTGATGCTGTAGAGAACGTTGCCATTCCGGGAGATTCTCAGCAGTTTGTTGTCGGTGGTGATCTCGTGGAAGTGGGCCCCCTTCTCATTGGCAAAGAACAGGTCAGGTTTCCAGATGGAATCCAACATGGACGGGTCAAGGTCCAGAGAGTCATCAGGGTATTCGTTGTAGGCCAGACGTGGGTCATTCCACTGCTGCCTCAGGAAGATGTTGACCCGATAGTCCTGCAGCCGAGAGAGCAGTGGGGGTGGGGTTAGACTCCGGGGCCAACTCTCAGAGGCTTCAGTGCTTATGGGCCCCAAAACCTATCCTGGAAAAGGCTGAGAGTGGGTGCATGTCTGGGGACCAGGGGACCAACATCACCCCTCTCTCTCCATCCTCAGCAGAGTATATGCAAATCTGAACTTTAGAAGAGACCTTCTATTTTGAAGGTATTTTAGCTTGGCATGCTGTAATGCCTGCATAGGCAGTTGAGGCAGCAGTACTGCCATTAATTTGAGGCCAGCCTGGGTTACATAGCAAACACCAAGTCAGCACTGCAGAGCATGACCCTGTCCTAAACAACAAACAAACAAACAAACAAACAAACCAAAATCAAACCCAACAACAAATTAAACATACATTCAAAGACTAATGTAAAAGATCAGCTTCTTTCCTTCCCTCCCTCCCTCTCTCCTTTCCTCCCTTTCTCTTTCTTTCTTTCTTTCTTTCTTTCTTTCTTTCTTTCTTTCTTTCTTCTCTGTGTATCCTTATCTGGCCTGGAATTCACTCTGAAGACAAGGCTGGCCTTAAACCCACAGAGATACACCTGCCTCTGCCTCCTGAGTTCTGGGATTAAAGGTGTGTACTGACACATTCAGCTTACTCCTCCACATTGTAAAGGGATAAGTATAAAAAATAAAAAAGAAGTTCAAGGTCATTCATAGCTATACAGTTTGAGGTCCATGCTGGGATACAGGGGGTTCAGGCAGGGGCAAGGCAGGTCCTGCTGAAGCTTTGTTCAACTGCTCTGAGGATCACAGAATTGCTGAGAGGCCATTTTATTTCCATTCACACCTAGGAAAGCTGTCAGGAACCTGGGCAGATGTGCCTAAAGAATATTCCACAAGAAGAAAATATTTCAGTAGGAAGTCTTTTAGGGGTTTGAGGGGCTCAGTGGTTAAGAGCACTTGGCTGCTCTTCCAGAGGATCCAGATTCAATTCCCAATACCCATATGGCAGCTCACAACCACCTGTAACTCCAGCTTTCAAGGCAGTTAGACATCCTCTTCTGGCTTCTACCAGCTGCACACACGCACTCACTCTCTCTCTCTCACACACACACATACACACAAAACACACATATAAAAATAAAATAAGACTTAAAAAAAAGAAAAGTTTTAATTTTGCTGGAGAATTACTATAAACTTGGAGTCCATGAATACAGTAGCACCACAGATGGACTTTGAGGTGTGTTTCTCTTACCCAAGGCAGAAGGGCAGAGCATCCGTGTTGGGCTCTCAAAGATCAATGACCCGAGGTCGGACATTTGGTGCCAACCTTCAAGAAATAATATGCACACACGGCTCCCATACACCCACACCCATGCATAGCCCACCAACATGCACCTGCCCTCACACACATCTTCACACACTGGAGATATGTCACTTTTTCCCTGAGGGTGCCATAAGATGAGGCCACGCTGTGCTTTCTTTTGGGGTGCTGCTTCTGGATCCTCGTTAGTCTTGGTCAGTCACTGGCAAGGATGAATGAAAACAAATGGTGTTCCCGTGCCCATTCTACCCCTGCCCACGGCCTCCCTTGTGCCTCATTCTGGTGGAAGTATTGATAGCTTCATAAAACGTTCCAAAGCATTTCATAGGATTTTCCTAGAACTTAATTGCAGCCTGTCCCTCAAGCCCCATAGAAGGTGATGTTTGGCTTCATAATCTCAGGTCGTATGAGTCCCGCAATGGAGGCTGGGCCTGGATATTGTTTAAAGTTTTGTTTGTTTGTTTGTCTGTTTGTTTTTAATTGTATAGCTGGAGAAATGTTTCAGCAGCTAAGAGTACTTAAGAAAAAAAAAACCCTTCCTTCCTTCCTTCCTTCCTTCTTCTTCTTCTTCTTCTTCTTCTTCTTCTTCTTCTTCTTCTTCTTCTTTTCTTTCTTTCTTTCTTTCTTTCTTTCTTTCTTTCTTTCTTTCTTTCTCTCCTTATTTTTTTGTGTGCAGCACATGTGTGGTGGTCAGAGGACACCTGGAGGGAGTTATTATCTCTTCCCACCATATGGGTCCTGAAGATTGGTCTTAGGTCATTTATGATTGATGATAAGCACCTTTGTCTACTGAACCATCTCTCCAGGGATGGCTGCTCTTCCAGAGGACTCAGGTTTGATTCTCAGCACCTATGTGGAAGCTCACAACCATCTTTAACTCAGTTCCCGAGAATCTGACACCCTCTTCTAGCCTCCAGAGGGACCATATGAATAGACCTCCATGAGGTGAAATACCCATACATATCAAATAAAAATTAAAAAAGATTCAAATTACCATTTGCCTAGTTTCTTAGTCTCTCTCTCTCTCTCTTTCTCTGTGTGTGTTGCATGCACAAGCATATGAGTGAAGATGTGAAGGTCAGAGGGCAACTTTCAGAGGTATTTCATTCTTTCCTTCCACTATGTAGGATTCTGGACTCAAACTCGGGTTGTCAGGCTTAGTGGCAAGTGCCTTTACCTGCTGAGCCATCACACCAATCCTGCATGCTGGGTTCTGCTTTTCATGCTTTGGTCACATCTCCAAAGCTGGCCCCTCCTCTCCATCTCCCTTGGAGCTTACACATACAGTGTGCTAGGGTGGGTTCTGGGAAAGTCATCTGGAAGTGAACACTCTATGAATGGTTGGGCAGAAAAAGCCTCCAGTCCCCAAACAACAGCCATACTCTTGATGTTCCTGCTAGTGACATGTCAAGACTGTTCATGTAGCTTCGAGGAAGGAAAGGAAGTGACATTTCTTAAAATGTTTTCCATACTGTCACACACATTTAATTCTCACAAAAGCTCTGAAAGCAAACACTCAGATTCCCACGGCAAGGGGTGGGGGAGAAATGGGCTTGGAAAGGCCCAGAGATGTGTCCAAGAACAGGGCTCATGGGTTGGGGAATGTAGGGCTGGAATCACATTGACCCAACCCTCTAGTGAGCACTTGACTTGGATGGAGGAAGTTGACTCTTGCTTTGGATACTTTGGTCCTTGTTGCCTGGCAAATTCTGTGAACTCAACTTAAGCCCTGCCACCTTTTGGCTCTGGATGTACCAGGTACCCCTGGCTTTCTTGCTGAACTCCCAGAAGGATGAAATCCTCACAAACATCCAACCGAGTGCTTCCTCCCTGGGAGCGGCTCTTCTCCCAAGTATGATCAGCCGCAGCTGGCAAGGATGACGGTAAACGTGTGTTTCCCTACATCATCTCTACCGCCCCTAATAGTCCTCCCCTGGTTTCGTGTTGTATTGTTTCTTTTCTGCAGAAATAGTGCATGTGAACAAATAGAAAGGTGCATTGTTTGAAAGAAGGAACAGGCCCCATGGATCTCATTATAAAATGACTCATGAGAGTCAGAGCAAGAGACTAGAGCAGCATATTGTATGGTCCCTGTTGCCTGACTTCTCTGGCAGACAGGTTCTCACCATGGAGTTTTCCTCTTGGGGTTGGTAAACAGTTGTGGGGAATGTAGCTCAGGAGGGATTGAAATGGCTGGTATAATGGGCTGAAAGCTAAGTGCTGCTTAGGTTTCTTAGCCTTACACCTTGCTGGCTTGCTTTTGGACACGTGTGGGAGTCCACGTGCGAGGTCATGGGTCAGAGAGGCAACGGCGGAATTCTCCGATCCAGGACTTACAGTCCTGCTTTCAAATCTCTGAAGTGTGGGCTATCAGAAGAGTAGCCCAACTGTCTTCAGCATCGATTCAGCCATTTTGTAAGACTCAAGATTCACTGACACTCTGACCTCTGGTAACTGGACAACCAGTTTTTGTTTATAAGACCATGGAAAGACTCACCCATCTATACATCATCCATCTATCTATCCACCTGTCCATCCATCCATCCATCCACCCATCCATCCATCCATGCATCCATCCACCCATACTCCAAACATTTGAAGGTTTCCTTTGTGTCACTAATAGTTGGATTTTTCCCCTCTTTCTTTATGATGTCTAGTTTAACATTCTAACATCTAATGGGTTCCTCTAAATTCAGAACTGGTGGTGAAATATGAAGCTCAGAACCTTTGAACAGGAAATATGTCAGAGCTCATGAGGGTGTGTTATTGGGAAGGAGATGTGGAAGGCGAGAAGCCTACGAAGGATTACCGGAAGCAAGAGACACAGCAGTAAGGGATGGATGGAAGGTGCGAACTCACGTTCATATTTTTTTTATGTGTATCCCAGGCTGTCCTTAAGCTTTCCATCCTCCTGCCTCAGCCTCTTGAGTGCTGGATTATAAGTGTACACCACTGTACTTGACATCTTTTCTACATGCATCTTTTGAAGAACAAACAATGTTTTATTAATTGTTTTGGGTTGTGTATGTGTTTATATGTATGTGCACCTGCTATGGCACGGGGGGGGGTTGAGGTCAGGCTACAACTTTCGGGAGTTGGTCCTCTCCTTCTGCTGTGTAGGTTCTGGGTCTCTAGCTCAGTTTGTGAAGCGTTGTGGCATTTGCCTTTGCCAGCAGAGCCATCTTGCAGGCCCCTGTGCATGTTTTGCAGTCTCAGCTGTCAGCTCTCGAGGAGAGAGGTGAGTGAGTTTTGCTCTGCTAAACTCAGATTGACTCTTCTCATTGGATGCAAGCAGGCGGGCAGGCAGAGGCAGAAGCAGAAGCAGAAGCCAGATGCAGATGCAGAAGCAGAAGTTCTTGGTTTCTGCACTCGGAGAACTCAGATTTTCCAGCTTACAAGGCAAAATGTGGTCGCAGATATCCACAATAGGAAGCTCCTAGTATCAGGGGTCTCAGGATGTACCAACACACTATTATCAGAGGCATCCTCCAAAAGGTAGGGCTTGCCTCCAGCAAGGTGAGATGAGAATGTGGCACCTGAAATGCCCATTTCATTTTGTCTTTCCTCCTGAAGCTGGCATCTCAGAGCAGTTTTTGTGCAGTAACTGCTCATAGTATCTGCTTTGCTGGGAAAGAAGCCAAAGGCGTGTGAGGACAGAGGTTTGAATGCTTAGAGCAGCCATGAGGAATGG